ATCTGGGATCTCTAGTCCTGGGAGATCCATAGGGGATGGGGATCTGGAATCACTAATCCTGAGAGATCCATAGGGGATGGGGATCTGGGATTGCTAGTCCTGTGAGAGCCATAGGGGATGGGGATCTGGGATCGCTAGTCCTGTGAGATCCATAGGGGATGGGGATCTGGGATCACTAGTCCTGTGAGATCCATAAGGGATGGGGATCTGGGATCACTAGTCTTGGGAGATCCATAGGGGATGGGGATCTGGGATAACAAGTCCCGGGAGATCCATAGGGGATAGGAACCTGGGATCACTAGTCCTGGGAGATCCATAGGGGATGGGGATCTGGGATCACAAATCCTGTGAGATCCATAAGGGATGGGGATCTGGGATTGCTACTCCTGGGAGATCCATAAGAGATGGGGATCTGGGATCTCTAGTCCTGGGAGATCCATAGGGGATGGGGATCTGGAATCACTAATCCTGAGAGATCCATAGGGGATGGGGATCTGGGATTGCTAGTCCTGGGAGAGCCATAGGGGATGGGGATCTGGGATCGCTAGTCCTGTGAGATCCATAGGGGATGGGGATCTGGGATCGCTAGTCCTGTGAGATCCATAGGGGATGGGGATCTGGGATCACAAGTCCTGTGAGATCCATAAGGGATGGGGATCTGGGATCACTAGTCCTGGGAGATCCATAGGGGATGGGGATCTGGGATCACTAGTCCTGGGAGATCCATAAGGGATGGGGATCTGGGATCACAAGTCCTGGGAGATCCGTAGGGGATGGAGATCTGGGATTGCTAGTCCTGGGAGATCCATAAGGGATGGGAATCTGGGATTGCTAGTCCTGGGAGATCCATAGGGGATGGGGATCTGGGATCACTAGTCCTGGGAGATCCATAGGGGATGGGGATCTGGGATCACTAGTCCTGGGAGATCCATAGGGGATGGGGATCTGGGAGATCCACAGGGAACAGAGAACATGGCCTTACTTCTGCTGATACTCCTTGATGAGCCGCTTGGCCTTGCTGTATTTCCGCTCCAGGGTCTGGTACTGGGCTTGAGTCTCTTTCAGGTGCTCATCCACTGCCTGGCACAGGTTCTGGGCCTCCATCCAATAACCCTCCAGCTTCTCCATCCTCTCCTTGTTTTCCTCCACGCTCTGCTCCAGCTGGGCCTTCTCGGCTCGCCAGCGAGCCTTCTCCTGCTCAATGGACTGCAGCTGGGAGCAGAGACCACAGCGCACAGGGTGAGGGGAAGAGGGGAAGACGGGTAAGGGAGACTGTGCCGGGGGATGACAGGTAGGGGGAGGGGAGATGAGGGGCATTTGGGGAGATGGGCTGCATGGGGCAGGAGATGGGGCAGCACATGCACCCCAGTAGCAGGGAGTGTTGGGAGAAGTATGGGTGTGTGTTTGTGTCTCTTTGGTGCTGTGGACTGTGGTTGAGTGCGTGGTTGTGTGCTGTTGTATCTCAGCGCGTGGTTGTGTCTCTGTGTGTTTGTGCTAGTGTCTCTGTGTGTGCGTTTGTCTCTCTGTGTGTCTGGTTGTGTGCTGTTGTATCTCTGCGTGTGGTTGTTTGTGCGTGTGCTTGTGTCTCTGTGTGTGCTTGTCTGTGTGTGTGTCTGGTTGTGTGCTGTTGTATCTCAGCGCGTGGTTGTGTCTCTGTGTGTTTGTGCTTGTGTCTTTGTGTGTGCGCTTGTCTCTCTGTGTGTCTGGTTGTGTGCTGTTGTATCTCTGCACATGGTTGGTTATCTGTGGGTGTGTTTGTGTCTCTGTGTGTGCTTGTCTCTGTGTGTGTCTGGTTGTGTGCTGTTGTATCTCTGCACCTGGTTGTATATCTGTGTATGTGCTTGTGTCTCTGTGTGTGCTTGTTTCTGTGTGTGGTTGTGCATCCTTGTGTATGTCTTTGTGTGCTGCATGTGTAGTTGCGTGGGGGGATTTGCGTGTGAGATTATGCATGCTTGGTTCTGTCTGGGTGTGCGGTTGTGCGCTATTGTGCGTGTGGTGACATCAGCGTGTGCGGTCGGGTGTCTCTGTGCGTGCTCGTGTGTGTGCGCGGTTGTGTCTCTCCACGCCTGTGCGTTGTTGGGCAATACAAACAACGGGGCCAACTGAGAGCGAGGAGGAAAGCAGAAGACCCCACGCCAGAGCAGGACTGGCAGAGGCCATGGCGGGTAGGGGAAAGGAAGGAACAGAAGAATAGGGAGGTGCCAGCAGCCCAGGCCGGCCGGGATCCTGCGGGTGAAGACTCACGGGACCAGGGAGCCCAAGGAGGGGACCCGTCCGCCACCCCCCACACGGTCCCTTCTCCGCAGCTCACCTTCCTCTTCAGCTGCTGGATTTCAGCCTCGGTGACGGCGTGTTTGATCTGGAGCTGACAGAGAGTAAGAGCGGTTACGCCCTGCATTCAGGGAGATGCCAGCCCCAGCCACTGCCCTGGCGCCCTCAGCCCCGGCCACTTGCAAGCAGTACATTTCCCTGCAGCTTTCCATTAGAGTCAAGGTATGAACCCCGGAGTCCTGGCAACACCCCCACCAGGGGTACATGACATGGTGCTGCAGTGAATCCCCCCCAGGCACACAACACCGCGCAGCGTCAGCTGGAGACCGGATCCCTGCCCTCAGCTGTCGGGGGCCGTTGCTGTGTGGCGATGCAACAGCGTGATCCACCTCAGAGGTGGCCGCACTTCAGCACAAGGTGCCGGGGCTCCAGTTCTCCTCTAGCCTCAGCTGGCTTTGCATTAACGTGACTCTCCTGACCCCAGCGGAGTGGCACCGGTGGGAGAGGAGAATCAGCTGGCAGGGCCAGAGGGCCACAACAGGGGTCGGCACCCTCTGCGCAGAGCTCTCCCGGAGATCTGGGCTGTGATTAGACCCCGCAGCCGGGGGTGCGGCTGGGCTGCCTTCGTCAGAGCTTACAGACAGAGCTTCTAGCCACTAGAGGGCAACATAACCACACGCATACAAATAATCACACGCGTGCACCACACCTCCACTGAAACAGATACGTGCACGCACACCCATGCACTTGTGCAACACACCCATGCATGAACGTATACCCGTTATCCCATGACACACATGGACACGTGCAAGTATGCACAGACAGCCTTGCACTTGTGAATATACACACAGGCGCAAACTCACCTACACTCTGACCCCAGGCACACACATGGACACGGACCCATGCACCGATGCCCACCCGTGCACTCAGACACACGCACATGCATCCGCATACACACATGTACACACTCCCACAAGAATAAACACACCCTGATACACACACACACTCACACGGGTGCCGTACACCCCTTCTGCCTCCCCCCACTCCCATTGCGGGTGTCTTCGGGGAGCTCCCCTTTCCCCGTCTTTACCTCCTTAAACTTGTGCACCAGCTTCTCGGGGTCCATCTCGACAGGGGACAGCATGTCCTCGTTCTCAGCCAGTTCGAAGACCTCGATGGCCATCTCGCTGCCGGGGAACATGGGGCTCATCTCCTCGTCCTCGTCCGTGGCATATTCGCCCGTCTGCGGGCACAGAACCGGGAGCTTTGGTCAGTTTCCTCCCTGTGATCCACCCCCAATCCAGCACATCCCAGACCAGAGCCATTCATAGCGCTGGCAGCTACCCCCTCACCACCACCGCTGCTCCCCAGAACCCTAAAACCCAGCCCCCCTTCCCGGTCTGCAGGGTCGGGACAAAGCACCTTGTGCAAACTTAACCTGCAGGGGCAAAGGATGGCCTGGTGTTTTCTGCACTTGGCTGGCACTCAGGGTCAGGTCCCAGCTCTGCTGCTAACACCCTAGATTCATACCTGGGGCCGCTGCTGCACCTTTCCGGTCCCCATCTATAACATGGGGGGGGGTAAGACATCTGTCCCGCCTCTTCAGAATGTGATACCTGCCCTGTGTGTGCGTACAGGGCCTAGCACGACGGGGACCCAATCTCAGATGAAGTATCCAGGCGCAACCATAATACAAATCATTATTACTGCTATTCCCACAGTGCCGAGTGGCCAGGACCCATTGTGCTAGCTCTTAGAATGGCTGGAGACCTCAACAAAAATCTCCAAAAGGCATGAGACGGTGCCCCTGTTCCTCACAACACCCCCCGAGAAGCAGGGAATTATGAACCCCATTTTACAGGTGGGAAAACTGAGGCATCCAGCAAGCTGCCCAAGGTCACTCAGCAGCAGAGGACGAGAACGGAGGACATCCTGACGGTTAGCCCCACGCGCTAGCCACCAGCTCAGCTGTGCGCCTGCAGCGTTATTGATTCGGGCCGAGATTTCGAAAGGCGCCTAAGTGATTTAGGCACACAACTCCTGTTGAAATTGAATGCAATGGGCATCGAGTGCCTAATTCCACTAGGCTGCTTTGAGAATCCCCACGGGTGTGCGGGAGGGGGGGCAGGGGCTGGCAGGAGAGAGCGGGGAGTCGTGTCTGTTGGGATAGTTTCGGGGGGGGGGGCAGGGAGTAGCTGTAATTCGACACGTCATTATTACAACTTCTGACGATGATGTTTCTCCGAGGCCTCTGAGACGTGTGCTGCTGAAATCAACCACTGTCATACACCGGTTAATACCAGGAAGGGACTGGAGCAGAGAGAGTAGGATCTGTTAGATCTGTCCCGCACCCAGCACAAAGAGGCCCTGAAGGCACCCCCACGGCAGTGCAATTATTTAATAATAACGAGTGGGCCAGATCCCAGCTGGTGTCCATCTTGCTCCACTGACGTCCATCCTGCAGGTTTAGCCCAGGTGATGACCTGGACCAATAACAACCGCTTTCCCGAAGGAGCTGGCGCTATTGGGCAGAGCATTAGACTGGGACTCGGGAGGCCTGGGTTTGTTTGGCTCTGTCACTGGCCCACCGGGTGACCGTGGGCAAGTCACAGCCCCGTTCCGTGCCTCAGTTTCCCCGTGCGTCACACGGCGATAACAATGCTGCGCTCCAGAGTAAAGTGCTCTGAGAGCTACTGATGCACAGCGCTCGCTAAGAGCGAGAGTTATAATTAGACGTCGTGACATTCGAATGGAGCGATTCCTTCATTTTCCACTCCTCTCCCACACAACACAAGCCCACCAGGGACCCTGCCAGGAGAGCCCATTAATCCTGGATGCTGCCACATTCCACTGCCCGGGAGAGACAGGCACAGCCCTGGGAACAGGAGAGAGGGGCTTGCACCCTGCATTTCTCTCCGCTGCAGAGCCCAGCAGGTTGTAGGAAGCTACCTCCCGGCTGGGTGCTTGGCAGCACGCCCAGCGATTAGGACGCTGAGAAGAGGGCGGCAGGGGGCTGATACTCCAATGCCCTGCACCTCGTGCGTCACTCACACCAGTGCAAAGTGCTTCCAGGCGGAGTCGGTGGCGTTTCACCCCCACTTTTCACTGGAGTAAATGACAACCTGAGAGGCGGGGCAATGAATCAGGTCGACGGTGTCTCATTGGGCTCCTGGTACACAGGCTAGGTGAGTCAGTTCTCCTGGCTCTTCCCCCCTGTGGGGGAAGCACAAGGGTGAACGCCCCTGGACAGGGCAATCTCTCCAGGATACGGCCAGTGGCCGGGGTGGAGCAGGGAATGGGGACATCTGGATTGGCATGGGCCTGGAGCCTGACTTCCCCCTCATCTCAAGAGAAGGTGCCCCAACCAAGCTAGGACTCGGGTCCTTTGGAGGATCAGTGGGTTTGTTGGTGCACCTGCACAGGTGGCAGTATGGACTAGTGAGTAGAGCCACGGGACTGGAACTCAGGAGACCCGGGGTCTATCTAGTGGGTGATCTTTGGGGGAGTCCTGCCACCCTTTGTCTATCTTGCCTATTCAGACCGGAAGCTCTCTGGGGCAGGGACTGGCTCTCCCTCTGGGTACGTACAGCCCCTAGCACATGAAGGCTCTGATCTTGGTTGAGGCCATTAGGTGCCACTGCAGAATAACTAAGTATGGGGTTAATTAGATGGATTCCTCTCTGACCCCAGGGAGCGGGGGAGTCTCCCTGGGGGCCTGTACTGGAGTGGGGGAGGACGGGACTGCAAGGACACCCAGCACAAGCTCCGGTCTCCAGCCCTTGCCCAAAGGCGACCGGGAAATGCCGCTCGCGCGCGCCTCTTACTTCTTCATCCTCTTCCGTGTACTGGGTGTATCTCTGCTCCATCATCTCCCGCTGCCACCGCTCCTGCTCCAGCGTCTGCTGGATCAGCTGAGCTACCTCGCTTTGCTCGCCCGGCTTTTCCCGCCCGATCAGGAACCTGCGACAGGAACGGACACGAGGCCAGCGGGTCAGCCGAGAAGGACCCCTGTGCCCCGGAGACAGAGTGGCTGCTGGTTGATCCCAGCAGGCCCCGTCCTCCTCCCTGTGCCTCTCCCCTGTGTCTGCAGCGAGGCTGCCACTGCGGTGGGGTGACGTTAGAGGGTGGTGGGGTGAAGCCAGGATTCAGGGGGGCAGGACCACCCCCCCTCGACTCCCAGCCTACAGCAGAGTCTCATTTCCTCCCCACTGCCCATGAAAGCTGGGATGGGAACAGGCCCCAGAGCAAGACCTGCTGGAATCTCCTTGCCCACCTGACTGCAGTCTCCAGCCCGCTTACGAGGAGGTGCAAATGCTGCCCCCCTCCACGACCCACCCCCCAACCAATCAGTTTGGCACACCCCGGGCCGGCCTCGCCCATGCCTTGATGGGCTCGGCCCCACCCGTGGGTGCGGAGGGATGGGCATGGGCTAGGCCGGCGGGCCCAGTTTGTACTCCAGGCTCGGCTGCGCTGGCTTGATGTCGCCGCGTTGGTGGGCAGGTTTATTTTAGGTTGGTTATTTTAAAAATAGATATTGGAGAGAAAACATCCGGAGCTGGGTGTCGGGCGCAGAGCGAGGGCAGCCCCCGGCCCCTCGCGCTGATCCCGGCCAGGAAGGGCGGAGCCTGAGATGCTCGGGGTGAGATAAAGGGGTCAGCAGGGCCCTTCTGCAAACAGCCCTGCAGCGAGGCGGAAACACCACCGGCCAGTGCTTCCCCTCGGCTGCTCCAGCATCGCTCACTTCCTCTTTCGCTCCCACAGCCTGCCCCCCTCGCCCCGCTCCTGGGGCGGGGGGGAACGCTGGTTTTTCACCCAGCAGGCCCCTTGCTGGTTGTGGGAGGGGATCCGAGGGGCAGGGACAGGGTGTGATGGGAGGGAGAGAGGGGTGTGGGGGTGGTCTGGGAAGTTACCCATGTTCCGGGATGCACTGGGGATGTTCCCTGGGGTTTCCAGGGGATACCCAGTGGGGGGCTATGAGGGGTACAGTGGAGTTTATGGGGCTACAGGAGCTAAACAGTGGATTACTATGGGGTGTGCAGTGCAGGGTATCAGGGTCATGGGAGATACACAGTGGGGTGCCATGGGGTGCACTAGAGGTTCTAGGAGATACACGGTGGGGTGCACAGTAGGTGTTATGGGGCTGTAGGAGACACACAGTGGGGTGCGATGGGGTGCACAGTAGGTGTTATGGGGCTGTAGGAGATACACGGTGGGATGCACAGTAGGTGTTATGGGGCTGTAGGAGATACATGGTGGGGTGCCATGGGGTGCACTAGAGGTTCTAGGAGATACACGGTAGGGTGCACAGTAGGTGTTATGGGGCTGTAAGAGACACACAGTGGGGTGTGATGGGGTGCACAGTAGGTGTTATGGGGCTGTAGGAGATACACAGTGGGGTGCGATGGGGTGCACAGTAGATGTTATGGGGCTGTAGGAGGCACACAGTGGGGTGCGATGGGGTGCACAGTAGGTGTTATGGGGCTGTAGGAGATACACGGTGGGGTGCCAGGGGGTGCACATTAGGTGTTATGGGGCTGTAGGAGATAAACGGTGGGGTGCTATGGGGTGCACAGTAGGTGTTATGGGGCTGTAGGAGATACAAGGTGGGGTGCCATGGGACAGATCTGGAGCTGTTACGACAGGCAGACCCAGAGTGGGGTGTGTGGCAAACACAGGCCCAGAGAGGGGATCCCTGACTGTCACGCTCAGATCCTGGGGCACGGAGGGTGTTTGAATGGGGCGTGAAATCCCCACCCCCCACCCCATGCAGAGGGAAGCACTAGGCCTAGGCAGCCCTGCTCCAGGAGGCCCAGCGCAGAATCTCAGGAGCTGGGCTCAAAGCTGGGGCAACGTCCATTTCCAAGCAATCTCGTATTCCCATGCCCGCTGGATTCCCCTCTCGCCCGCAGGCACGACACCGCTGATGCCAGCATGGTTACCAGGGTGCTGGCAGGGTCGAGCCCACCTTCCTGGTTGTGGCATCACGACCCCTTGGGATGGCACAAGCAGAGGATCCTAGTAGCGGGTGACAATCAAACCCAACCACGTTCCTGCCTCCAGTAAATTGAAACAGGCGGAGAACGGGACCAGCCCTTCCCAGCAGCCTAGTCCAAGACTCCAGGCAGCCGAGACAACGGGTTCGCCTGTGTTAGTGTCGTTTACACACTAAAGAGGGTGGGGAGAAGGGCAGGGCAGTTTAGATTCACCTTCCAACTTGGCCTAATGGCTCGGAGAGGTGTAAACGGTCCCCATGAATTGCAGTGGGGGGTGTTGACTCTGAAGTGTAATGATGACATTTAAAATGTTAACTAGGTCATTGCTGGTTGTTGAAAAAGAAACATCCAGCTTGTCTGGAATTGTGGGGCGGGGCTTTGGAGAGTGGGTGGGGCCTGGCTAGAACATCACCCCCTTTTATACCCTTCCCACCCAACTGGGGAGCAAACCCAACACAGAAGTGGGTGGAGACACCATGTTTACACCCAGGGGGCCAGACTAGGGAAGATCAAAGACTCCACTTTGCCGGCGGCAGGAAGTGGCATATCCCATCACAGCCTCCCCTGGGGCGCCCACCAGCCGGGCTCTGAGCCGTGTGGTCTGCTCCCCTGGGGCCCCCTGACTGTCGTGTTTCCCATCTCATGGCAAGCAGGCTGCACGCCGTTCCCCTACCGGACTCTACCCTTGGTGTTCCTCAGCACGGAGGCCGCGAAGCTCTGGGTCACACCCACCAGGCTGGTACCGTCCACCTCCACGATGAGGTCATTCACCTGGATCCTACGGGAGGGAGAAGGCGAGTGAGAGACGGAAAGGGAGGGAGGGGCCTTTGGCAGAGGGTGCGGTGGGCTTGGGGGCAGTGTTCCAGATCAGTACAGGCCCACGAGCTGTCTGAGCTGATGGTGCCCTCCCAACCCCCCCAGATCTCTTGTCAACCTAGGTCTGCCCATTGGCCCATCCTGTCCCCTATCCTGGCACCTGCAATATGGGATCAAATCACTGGCCCGTCTAATTCACCGTCGTGTCTCCTGCCACACTGAAGCTGGCAATTCTCCGTGTAGTCTGGCACCCTGCCTCCCACAGTGCCCAATTACGGATGTTGCACCGGAAGGCATAAAATCAACACCCCCATGTTGCCCTGTAGGGAGATTTCCTTCCTGATCCCTGCCCGTCAGGTGATCAGATGACGCCCTGAAGCATGAGGGCCAATTGCCCTTCCCAGATAGCGTAACTGCAGCTAAATCACCCCAGTGCTGTGCCATCTGCTTCCAACAAGGCCTCTGTCTCCTGGGGTTCGCCCCTCCTCCCCACACTGGAAAGGGTTAATCGGAGATTATGTTGTGTAGTGGAAAGAGGAAGGAACATTGCTCCCCGTGCTCAGGAAGCCGGGGATGGCCAGCGCGGTCGGGGGAGGAAACTCCCGGTTGCTAGATTAAGTGGCACACACAGAGCAAGGCCGCAGAGAGGCTCTGAGATGGTGCCAGGACTGTACTGGGCCCCAAGCCTGCCCGGCAGCAGAGGGGGTGAACCGGCCATCAAGCTGTGCCCCCCATGCCCCAGCCATGCCAGCACCCCGGCCCTCTCCCACCGCCCCTGCCTCACGAGGGTACAGCATCCTTGTGTCCCCGCCACCTCTACCGCCCGCCTATCCCTCCAGGGAGAAGCGGTATCTGGGAGCCCCAGAGCCCACGGCCAAAGGGGGAGCTGAGGGGCGGGACGGCCCTGGGCTGGATCAGGCTGGTCTGGGAAGGATGTGTGGGGCGGAAGAGCCTGCTAGGATGGGTGGGGCCTCCCAGAACAGCCTCCTTGGGGGAAGCACAAACTGTAAAGCCAGCCCCATCCCCCACCTCACCCCGGAGGCACTCACCCCACTTTCCCCCTTCTGCCCCCTCAGGACAGGCTCGCCTCTCCCTCCCTCGGGGAGCGGCGAGGGCCGTTATCCTGGGGGCCAGGCCCTGGGCCTTGCCACGGAGGTATCCCGGGCAGCTCCCGGCTGACAGACGGAGGATGAATGCGGTTGTCAGAGCCAGGCAGCCAAGCCGGGCACACGGTCCTCCCACTGCTGAGACCGAGAGAGTTGGGGGGGGGGAGTGGGATGGTGACCCCACAGATCTGCCAGCCCTAGCCTGGCCTGGAGTGGGGCACGGGGGCTTGGGGCATTCTCCCCATGCTGGCTCCAGAACGGGGAAGGAGCTGAGCCGGGATCCCTCGTATAGGTCAGTGATGTTCCCTGAGACTGGACGGGGGGTGTCCATGCTATAAACCAGTGTCGACCCCCAGCATGGGCAGTGACACCCCTGATGGGGCCCAGGCATCAGGCAGCGCTGGGGAGCTCTCGTGTACCTGAGATCCCCAAACCCCAGCCTGGGATGTTCTCTCACCTCAAAGCCCTGACCGAGTCTGTGCTTGTCCCTGCCCCACGAGTGGATCGAAAACACACACAGAGCTGTCACCGCACCCCTGCATGGGGCTAGGAGCTCACACTCCCTGCTAGCCACTTTGTCCTGGAGGCTTAATTAACGGTGTTCGGGGCCGTCCTCTGTCTGCAGCCTGCTCTGGGCATGCACCCGCCAGTGCGCAAACACAACGGACACAACCACACACAAACACCCACACACCCATACACAAATGCACACGCACCCATGCACATCATACACCCCCATGCACCCCCCAGTGCACAAACACACCCAGAAACACAACAGACACACCCACACACAAACACCCACACACAAATGCACACGCACCCATGCACATCATACACCCCCTATGCACTCCCCAGTGCACAAACACACCCAGAAACACAACAGACACGCCCACACACAAACACCCGCACACCCATACGCAAATGCACACCCATCCATGCACATCATACACCCCCTATGCACCCCCCAGTAACAAACACACCCAGAAACACAACAGACACGCCCACACACAAACACCCGCACACCCATACACAAATGCACACCCATCCATGCACATCATACACCCCCTATGCACCCCCAGTGCACAAACACACCCAGAAACACAACAGACACACCCACACACAAACACCCACACACCCATATGCAAATACACACCCATACACCCCCTATGCACTCCCCAGTGCACAAACACACCCAGAAACACAACAGACACGCACACACACAAACACCCGCACACCCATACGCAAATGCACACCCATCCATGCACATCATACACCCCCTATGCACCCCCAGTGCAAAACACACCCAGAAACACAACAGACATGCCCACACACAAACACCCGCACACCCATACGCAAATACACACCCACCCATGCACATCATACACCCCCTATGTACCCCCCAGTAACAAACACACCCATAAACACAACGGACACGCCCACGTACATAAAACACACACCCATACACAAATACACACACACCCATACCCATGTAGGCAGCCCCCCCATGCAAACACACCCATCCCTACACAAGCACTCCCACAGAAATACACACCCATGTGCAAACACCTCCACTTATAGTCGCACAAATACAGACTCAGCAACATAAACACACACATATATACCAAAAAATATACTCCAAGGCACACGCTGCGGAGCTGCGGGGAAGAGGGGCATGTCGGCCATGGCTCTACTGCGTTTAAGCACCAGGTCACAGTACGACTCAGGTTTGGCTCGGCCCAATCATAGAATCGTAGGACTGGAAGGGACCTCGAGAGGCCATCTAGTCCCATCCCCTACACTCCTGGCCGGACTAAGTATTAGACCATGACAGAGCCAAGCTGAAGTTGAGTGAGTGGCGTGGTGACCTGGCCCTGGAAATGGCAGTCCACAGCTCCCGCCTAAAGGGGTACAAATGTATATTCATACAACTCCCCTAACACACATACACACCAACACACAACATAACACGTACAGACAGCCCCCACTGGGCTAATCTGATCAGGCCACCGAGACTGACGTTTGTGTCTCGACGTTTCCCCTTTGCTCTGCAGAACCTTTCATTGTGAAACTCGCTGTGATTTCCCAATTCCTGCTGGTGTGATAGACAAAGGGCCTGATTGTGTCTCTGGGCTGGATCCTTTGTTGTCCCCGTGATTCGTTCCACCATGGACCCCCGTGCGAAGCGAGAGCTGGTCTACCTGTCACCACGCTGGTTTTGCACCAGTTTGGTCAAAACTGGTCCAGCTTTTTGTGGTTGTGATTGTGTTTCTGAGTATGTGCGTGTGTGTGAGCATAAGTGGATGTGTTGGAGCATAAGCCTGTCTTTTCTGTGTGTGTGTGTGTGTGCGTGGGTGGCTGTGTTTGCACTGGGGGTTTGCATGGGTTTCTTAGTGTATTTGTACATGGTTCAATGTATTTATTTGCAAATGGGGTGAGTGTATATTGTGTGTGTGTGTGTGTGTGTGTGTGTGTGTTGTCTACTGGTGTGTGATTGAGTTGCCATCACTTTATAGCTGGCCTATGTAGGTTTAGCTTTACCGGTGCAAACTGACCCGTTCTAAACCCAGTTGAAATCCATGTCAGTGTCCCCACACACAGTAGCACTGGTAATCTGGCGAGGCAACCAGAGATCAGAACATACCCACTTTGCACGGGTGTCAGTGGCAGCCCAAGTTGCCGGGGAACGGAAAATCCAGCCGAGACCCTCCTGCATTTGCTTGTTTGGGTTGCGCTGAAGTAGGCTGGGAAAAGATTGTCTGATTGAGCTCTCCCTAGAGACCCTTCTGGGAGGGAGTTATGTGTATCGTGAAGCCCTCCAAGTCAGCACCATTGAAATGAATACGGAAATACGTTATAGATGCAAACAGCACACACACCGACACGTGCCTTGCAACTCACCATGAGCACATGGAGAACACGGTACACAGCAGCCGCAGCACACACTAACACAGAGACCTACAGACTACAGTGCCGAGTCTTGCAGGAGTTAGTTCTCTTTCTGAAAGCCCCAGCCCCTGGAGTCAGGTGATTGTGTTTGAATCTCATTTGTAACAACAAAGTGAATTTCTAGCTCCTCCGGTTGCAGCGAAGAGCTTGAAAATGCTACTCCCGCCCCCTAAGCCTCAAAACAAGGAGGCCAATAAGAAGCCCAATATAAGAAGTTTTTTTATTTTTTAAAAATCTCATGACTTTAAAGCCAATTTCATGATTTTTGGAGGCCTGATGGTGATTTTGGAATGCTTGGGGGTTGGCAATTCTGCATCTACAACCACACAACTAGCATAGATATACACAGAACAATATGCACAACAGGGATACACACAGGCTTGTCTACCATGCCGATGGTACGCAACTCAGACGGCAGGCACAAGCAGCCTAGATACAGTGAATAATTAACACAACAGGGCTTTGTTAGCAACTCATTTGCAACTCACAAGCTGCACATACACAACTACTGTCACACACACACACTAACGCAACTAGCACACAATGCAGCATGTGTACACACACACTACAAAGCTAAATAAAGAGCAACGCAAAGCCGATAGATACAACAATAGCCAGCCCACCCCTTCACATACACACACACACACACACACACACACACACACACAAACCACACCAGCAGAGTGGTGTGCAATATACACAAGCTCCCAACCACACCCTTAGGATCAGTTACAAAATACACAAAGTACTGTCTGCATCCAAAATTTCAATAATTCCAAAAGGGAGAGCCTGGGACTGGACGTAGCCGGGAGATCCCGCAACAGCCAGAGCCCCTGCCCTGCTCCCTACAGCGCCCCCTGCTGGGAGAGGTGGGGACTGGAGTAGCTGGGAGCTCCACCCCTCACAGCCAGTGCTCCTGCCCTGCTCCCTACAGCGCCCCCTGCTGGGAGAGGTGGGGACTGGAGTAGCTGGGAGCTCCACCCCTCACAGCTAGCACTCCTGCCCTGCTCCCTACAGCACCCCCTGCTGGGAGAGGTGGGGACTGGAGTAGCTGGGAGCTCCACCCCCCACAGCCAGC